TCAAAAAAAAAAAAAAAGAATTTTGATTTTTCCCTCGGTGTGGGTGTCTCTGGTGCCTAGAGGACCACCCTGCAAAGCCCCACTCCATTTGGTCTCATTATATTAGAAAATGGAGCCATGATGTCTTGCAAATAATTTGTCCTTATCCTCCCTTTTAAATTAGAATCTATTGGTTCTATTCTATAGTTTAGACACCATGGAGTGTAAGAATAATCTCTACCATCCTTTCTTCTTGTTTCTAAGTTTTTTACTCCTTAGAAAATATCTTTTTAAAGCCTTCCCTTCCTCAGCTTCCACTTAAAACTAGGCCCATGATGTCTCATTCCTGAAGTTCTCAAAAGCATGCGACACTACTATGATCATTTTCATTATCTGCTCTGGGACATTGACTTACTTCAGGTTCCCTCAAAAGCATACCCTAAAATATATGTCTGAGTGTAAGAATGTATTGAGGATGTGGTCCCCACCAGTGCAGTGAGAGGATGGGTACGTGAGATCGGGGGAGTGCCAGGGGTACTAATGCCAGTGGAGGGTGGGCTGATGCTTGCACCGCTGTGGGCAGTGGGGGCTCATTTCTGCTGAGCGCTCTGACGCACCACGAGAACATACCTCGGACTTGACCTCTGTGGGAACAGGAAGCCCAGGCATTTATCTTCCAATTCCCATCTCTTAGTGGTTGCGGATTGCTCTGGGGCATGTTAAGTCCCCAGAATGTCCAGCGTCCTTGCACACAGACCAAGCTTGCACTTGGCAGCCCAAGAAAGGAAGGTCTTGGGAGAGAATTGAGGGTGACAGGGGTAGGCACTATGTCAGGAACTATCCGCCAAAGTTGCAGGTGTAATTGGAAATGTAATTGGAAGCAGGTAAACCAATTAGAAGGATATTTAATCAAGATGATACAATGGATTAGATTACAGCAGAGAAAGTGATGGGGGGGTATTTGCAATATACCAGAAATGACCAAATATAAGGCAGTCCCATGTTTCTAATAGGAAAAAAATTAAACAAAAATTTGGAGGAAGGTAGATGAAATTTTCAAATATGTACTTCGTTTAATTATGTTGTAACATTGAGAGTAAGATAAGAGTGTAAGTTTAATTTACAAATACTCCATTTTCTGCTCCTGTATTTCCTGATACCATTTTATTCAAACTCTTCACATGTCTCAAAATGAATACATAT